CATTTCTATCCTTTTCTCTTCTTCCTATTCCTTTCCTTTTCTTCAGGCCCCGCTGCTTTGCTCTAGATGCGCACTTGCCTTTCTCCGCCTAGCACATCCTTTGCCGTATCATCACTTCCCCATGTCCAGCTGTGATATTCTTCTGCCGTTGCACCGCTTTCAGGTGCAGACTCTTTGCAGGTCTGGACATCTAGTGCCTTGGCAGAACAGGCCTACGTGTGGGATTGAGTGCTGCCCAGATGCGTTTTGGACGCGGACCCTCTGTAGCAGTTCTACTATAATGCTCAACTCTCGGACTTTATCTATATACATGTCTGGTCGTTTTAGCCGCCGGAACCCTCCATCCACATGCTGTTCGAGAGCCGCAAGCCCTTTTTAGTGTTTAACAAAATTATTTTCCTAAAGAGTGAGGTGGAGTTGGGGTAGAGAAGAAGCGTGAAAATGGGATTGGCCCCCCAAACCAGTAACATGTGATAAAAAGGGTTGGCAACCTAATTCTATTCTTAGCAGGCTGGTTTCATTTCTAGAATCAGCAATCTTTTCATATGTTGTGTACTGTGGCGTGCCTGGGGATAGCACTTCTAGCTGTGTCTCCAAATGCACCAGTGGCTGAGCCACCTCACGTATTTTTGGCCCCTGTTCTATTCGGAGGTCACGCCATGTGTTGCCATTTTGCATGGCGAAGGGTCAAGTGGGCAAAAACATGGTAGGACAACATGTAAGTACCTTATAACACCCATAGGTTTGACGGCGACCCGCCCAGACGGCGCACGCCGCGACAGGCGGCGGCCCGCCACGTGCAGCGCAGATCTTCAACATGATTGACATCCTTGAGGCCGAAGCCGAGGGCCGAGCAGCTAGGGAAGGGAGAACATATCAGAACAATGGGTGCGACAGACGTTTTTCTCTTTAAAAAAACATACCTGCAAGACTGAAGGGTGTTCTGATTTCAGCTTCGTTGAACTAGTGTAGATGTTTTCATCTTGGAAGCTTGTTGGCTCGCATGCAGGAAAAGTGCATATGTGTTATTGACCTAAATGGGATGGAAAAGGATTCAGGAGTTGCTTGTCCCTCCTTAATGGGCCCTAAACAAGATGTGGAGAGATGGAGGTCATGCTTTCCACATTGCGTGCGTGAGAACTCTCAGAAGCATCGATTTTGCAAGAGGAGTTGTGTCAGGCAGGTTTGCACTGCTGTGGCTGCCTTCCAATTGACACATTTCGTTGAGTTGGGATGAAACTCTTACCATGAAAACATAATCCGCAACAAGGTTTGAATTGGCAGCTTCATGCACATCATGGGATCAGTTCTTGGGGGTCCATTGCACTGGTCCCAAACGCCAGACCGGCCAAATGAAGTGAGCGGGGCCATTGGGCGCGGTACGACTGGGAGGTGGTCAGTCTGTGCCGGGTGTGTTGCATGGACATTGAATGTTTGCTTCGGTATTAATAATTCCCATAGTCACAGTTTCAACAGACCATACCCGGGGTAGGACTGGAGTCACATGGGGAAAGAAGACTTCGGCCACCTTGATCAAGATGGTACTGTATTCCCGGTTTGAACCGTAGAGAGACCGAAGACATCACGAAAGGTAGCTTGAGCTACCTGAGTTCTCCTTGCTTTAGCAAAAATGTATTACAATCAGGAGCTGGGATTGTGCATTGAATTTGGTCCTGTAAGAGTTGATTCTGTTCGTCGGGGGGGGGGGCCCCCCCCCCCTGGATCAAATCCCCCCTGCGCCGGTTCACGCCGTCGTGGACTTCTACCAGGGTTACTTGTGATTGCCTGCTACCTTTCGTTCACCCCCTCCTCTCTCAAGTTCTGCTAGAATGCCCCCAACTTGCGGCGACCAGGATCATTCCCTCCCAGCGACTCCCGCAGTGCGTGCGTGCAACAACTCACACGGCAAGCCTGATGGCATGGACTTGTCGAAGACAAGCTTTCTCTACAAACCAGAGATTTTCAGGCTCCACCCTACTCTTCCAGCATCTGTCCGAAATGTGGTGAGGCGAGGCTGTTCCAAGTCGGCCGGCTTGGCCTTAGAGAAAGGCTGGAGGAACTTATGTTTATTTAAATCCAATCCACATACTGAACAAACATGCGGGGCAATACCCAGGGTCGCAACACAGTTCGCAAGGCTAATGTCATGCATTTTCTTTTAAGTCTGATGCACCGGTTTGAGCACTTGCACTGGAGTCCTTATTTTGGTGCAGAAGGTGCGTTCAGGAGAGTTTGAGGTAAAGGAATGATTGCTGGTAGGGTATGCAGGCGGCCCATGTGAGCGTTCAGGACAGGCACGGACCTTCCAATGGATGTATCAGTATCGACATGAATTATTCCTATTCTGTAGTCGTCGGTCTCATTGAAGGGGGCCATGTATGTTCAAGCGTTATTGTTTTTCCGGCAATTCATGTCATGCCCAGTGCAAACACCTCGGAAGAAGATGCTGAGCCTGAGCTCAGCAAGCTTTTACTGCGAAGCAGCGATAGCTTAGGCAGATCAGACTCAGGGCTAAGAAGCTACATGAGGCTACCAAAGATAAGCCAGAAAAAGCACACGTCTCACGCCGGGCGCATGAAGCTTGAGAGACATACAAAGACTACAGTTAGGCTTTTCTTATTGTGAGCCACTCAAGATCGTCGATAGTCGGCGTATCCCATTGTCGTCGTTGTTTCTGCAACCTCGTCGGTCTGTAGTGTTTCGAAGGGTTTTCGGCCATTACGCCGTATAACAAAGACAAACGAAACTCAGAGATACTTATAGCTAAAACTGTTGTACACAGATGAGAAACGATGCCCTCTTGATGGCAGCCTTCCCAGAACATCTCATATTTTCGCTTTCGAAGACACGATAGAACGACTACACAACGCAAATCGTGAACATCTCTTTTTAAACCCAGCAAACCTGTAAACCCGCGTAAACCCGTAAACCCGCGTAAACCCACGTAAACCCGTAAACCCGCGTGAACCGTAAACCCGCGTCATCAAATTCAGACACATCTCCCGCTGCACTGACGCATGATTGTGCGTAATGTGTATTTGTATGTTATGTACGTACGTACGTACGTATGTATGTATGTGTGTGTTATGTATGTATGTATGTATGTGTGTATGTATGTATGTATGTATGTATGTGAGAATGTAATGTATTGTATTGTATTGTATGTTTTCATGCAATGCTTGTATGTATGTATGTTTGTATGTATGCATGGCATGTAATGTACCGTATCGTAACTTCATGTATCGTAACATGGGTATGTATGGTGTGGTATGTAATATTTCATGTATGGTGTGGTATGGCATGGCATGGCATGGTATGTGTGTTTGTATATATATATATATTTATAGTTACATATGTATCAACTGCAGTTTTCCCTCATTCTGGCACGTTGTACTTGGCACGATGCGAGGCAGAAGGCAGACCCTTGCGTGGGGAGACTTGTTCTTGACATTGAACACCCAACGCAGATGCAGAACTTGTTGCCAACGGGCGGCATGTTTTGAAGGCGGCAACAGGTGAGTCGTTTGAAATTTCCAAAGTAATTCGAGTTTCGCTGTGGCGAAGCTACACCATGCTTTTGGAGAGCCCTGAACGAATGGGCAGTTTTGAGTGATGAATAGTGAGTAAAATGATGTCAAATGCAAATTTCACCACAGCGGAACGGACAGTTTTTTTGAGACGACACTTGGGACTTATCAGACATCGACATGCTCCGAAACGCAGGCTTTGTAAAAATTCCTTGCCCATTCTTTCAATTCCAAATCAATTAGCAGGCTTGAGGCATTTACCAAAGCCTATGCAAGAGAGAATCTCAAGAATCAGACGCGGAAAGACCAAACAGGGTGAAACCGGTGACACTGGGACCTGGGTTGTCAGAAGTCCGTGTTTTGCTCTCCCGTACCCCAAGCTGAGAAACCCAGGTGATTCAGGGATGAGCTCGCCGCCTCCTGCGGCAGAGGTGCTGGCCTTAAGAAAGCTACGTACATCGCTTGGCCGACCATTGACTGTTTCTGCATGCATGTGCAGCTCGCGTCGTAGAAAGCAATGTTGTCGGAAACCGCTCCTTTGCTCTCAACATTTTTTGTTGAGCTGCTTGGAAGCTGCGGTGCCATCGTTGGATCGTCATGTCCTGTACACATTTGGAAGTCACCTTGTCCAGAGTCTTGGTAAGGTTCGAAAGAATATTATTGTTTTTTTAAACTACTGGTTTTGTATTGAACTCATTTGAGCATACCTTTGGATCAATTGAACATTTATAACAACTGGCGCCACATGCGAAACTCAACAAATAGAATGAACAAGGCGAGCTAATGCAAAGCAATTGAACAAAACACTCGGTGTGCACACGCACATCCAAATGCACTCACAAAAGGAATATGCACATGCAAGCAAAATGCCCCTCCATGCTGTAGCTAATAAAATTTCATGATTCCAAGTGCCAAACAATGAAGAGTATGTAGCCAATAATGAAACAAGATTAAACAAGATTGTTACCAGTTGGTTGTTGTATGCCCCCCTCCCTCCTTGTAAGCACCTCGCTACTGAAGCAAACAGTTTTGCGAGAGGGCCGGTATGGTCTAGTGGCTATGACGCATCTGTGTAGAATGCTGGGTGCAACAATGGGCGGACAGGCAGGCCACTGCCCTGCAGTTGAAGGGATGGGCTGGGGTGTGGACCGTAACAATGACGACAACAGCAACAACATGCATTTTTGCGATTGACGGGCTTTGATGGTCCGATAATAGGATAAGTTATTAGGTACGTCCACGAGCCATGACTTTTGGTCCAAACCATTTACTGTAGATTCTAAATGTAACCGATCCCTTTAAACAATGTTTGCTTGGCACCAGGATTCACGCTCCCTATCCATAGCGGCCCTAGGTATATAGATAGAACAGAGAAAAATTACTTATTCAAAAGGAGGCCATTGCCACAAATAATATGCTTGTCACTATGGTTGACTGCAGCATTTGTCAGACAGATCACTCATCCTCGGAGCCATGGCAATCAACACGCATCTTGGCAATTTTCAGTGTAAGAAGTCCTGAAGAAGAAGATGTGCTACTGTACTTGCTTTTGGCGCCAGAGGTTATGCACATCCGCAAGCACGAAGCATCTATAGATAGATAGATAGATGGACAAATGAATGAATGCTTCTATGAATGATTCAGTTGGAAACTTAGAACCAATATAAATAGATTGCCGGGTGTTTGGTCTTATCTGGTGAGTTGGTTTAAAGCGATGCGCTGGACCCAGAAGCACAGAAGCCATGAAGCGGCTGATCTGCCTTCAAAGATTCAGAGTACACTTTGTTCTGTTCTTCCTTTTTATGTTGACCTTGTTTATTTTTCTGTCAAGGACCTTTGCCAGAACGTGAGCAGGCCAGGTTTTCCCGCCTTAGGTCCAGGTTTTGTAAGAGCCTTTTGTTACAGCTTTTGTTTTTTTCTTTTTCTTTTTGGGACCTTCCCGCAAACCAGGAATCGCTTTGCAAGCTGAGGCGAGTGGTCAGTGAAGCTATGTATGGCTGGTACCTGCTTAGCCGTCGAGGGGCAGAAGCAGGGGTCATGGCAAAGGCGGCGCCGGTGTCCACGTTTCTGGGCGCGCACTTGAGTCGGCTTTGCTATGTGATCTATGTGTCTTTTCTGATCACTATAAATTTTTGCTTCGGCCATTCCATTCAATGTCCCACACGGGCCCATGTCTCATTTCTTCTCTTTGTTTGTGAGGTTCTACGATGTGAAGCAGCCTCCAGAGGACTTTCCAGGGAAGAGCTTTATGGCGTTATGGCCAGTCAATAATGACAATCCTGAAAATCGTGGGGCGGCTTTCATGCACGCAAACGGTTGATCAACTGTGCGCTCCCAACCTGACTCACAGGAAGGAAAGAAGGTGCGCCGCGAGTCTGATGCCATCAGTACTGATTGTGGGTCCGAGGCCAGCGTCCTCCGTGTGGCGACAAACCCGTAAAACTCTTTAATGTGCATATAAAGATATTTAAAAGGATTGAGTGCATGCTGGACAAGATTGTAGACTGCAACTTGTGCTGGGTATGGGAGCCAATAGGTCCATCTCCTGCATGTTGTAGGAGATGCTGCATTGATCACCGACCGTTTCGATAGAGATGCGAGTTCATGTTTTGAGCCCCATGGAGGTCTCTGAAGAGCAGTGGCGCCCGGAGGAGAGATTGACATGCAATTGAATTGACCATTGTGCAGCAATTCCGTCATGGAAGCTTTTTGTGGACAATGCCGTCATTACTCATTACCATGCATTACCTAGATACATTTTTGGCCAACACCTAGATTCTTAGATACATTTCAATTCAGAGGTGTTCGAGATATGGAAAGAAAGTCCAGCACCACTGCGAGAAACCTCCGCAGGACTTTGGACCACCACCAGGCTTGGAGAACGCTCTTGATGATGCAGCACCGTGCTTGGGGAACACTCTGGAGGAGTTAATTTGGCGAGGTACCAAGAAGGACTGATGGGCGCAGTCGGGGAAGAGAGGTGTGAAGTGGGCACCGTCACTGTTGGGCATGGCAGGTTCGGCCTTTTTGCAGGGTGCTTGGAGGTGCAGCCTCGGCTTCAATGCTTGAAATTTGGGAAGCTATTGGTCAAGGATTTGGAGAGGCCAATTAAAATGGTGGGCTCGTTTTACACTGCATTTGCCAACTTTTGGTTGAATTGGTTTTGCCTTTCGTTCGATGTCAGGATTCGAGCGAGATTTGGTGGGATTGGACCGAGCCTTTGCTTGGCCTCATGGCTCAGGGGTATGTCCAGCGTCATTTTCCTGGATCTTGTCTTGAGATGCACAACGTGTACCACAAAGGGTTGCCGCCCTTTGCAGTTGACTGCTTGCCTGCATAGAAGAATCCTGAAAGAACTAGATCACCATGTTTCAATTTGTACTTGGTTGTAGACATCACGCATTCATTCGTTCGATTCTTGGCTACTTGAGTCGTTGGTGTTTTGCAATGTTCTGACTCCCAAAGCTGACTTCGCAAGGTGTGAGCCCCATGGGCACAATGCAGTGGACTCCGAGCATATCTTTACCTTTGAGTAGTCACCTCATGGGTTTGCTCTCCTCGCGTCGTGGTTTCTAAGCTGCACATGCTGAGTGTTATCAACATTCGATGCCAACTGACGTGGTGACCCGAGAGGCGAGTTGGAAAAAGAAGAGAAGATACATCCTAGTAGCTTCTTGCCCCTAGCAGTAAGGCCAGGAGCCCCTACTAGCGTCCTTGCTCCTGGTAGCGATGCCAGGAGCCCCGAGTAGCTTCTTGCTCCCAGTAGCGATGCCAGGAGCCCCTAGTAGCTTCTTGCTCCTGGTAGCGATGCCAGGAGCCCCGAGTAGCTTCTTGCTCCTAGTAGCGATGCCAGGAGCCCCTAGTAGCTTCTTGCTCCTAGTAGTAAGGCCAGGAGCCCCTACTAGCGTCCTTGCTCCTAGTAGCGATGCCAGGAGCCCCTAGTAGC